CAAACAGTAAAACAGGCGCATTAGATCATATCCACACGCAAATTTGTACCATATTCATTGTAAGTAACAAAATTATTATCATTATTAATCTAGTGTTCTAATCTATTACACTCAAAAATGTTATTATTTTAAACTTTGTTGAATATTTTTTGAAATACTTTATATGCTTGTACATTTAGTGATCAGTAATCAAAATAAAAACATGTAATTTTACTCTTTTACAATGCTAATCAATAATTCTATTGCTTCTTCTACACCAAATTGAGATAAAATCTTCCTAAACTGTTCTGGAGTTGAACTGACTACRTCATCAGCCCCTTCAACCTCGACAGGACTACAAACAAAGGCGTCTATTTGTGGCACAACATTACCAAACTTGTCAATATGAATCTCCCAACAAACTGTGAAATGYAGACCATTTCTTTCTACATTACGTAGTTCCATAAAATTACTCCATTTTGGTCCATTCAGAAAGCAGACATACTCTGGATATTTTGTGTTAAAGTGATGAAATGTTTTATATCTGGAACTGTAATATTGTGAATACTGCGACAGCACTTGTAACACTGTTCCAAGAGATCTTTCTTGCTCAGCATTAGATATAAATATTTCTAGTTCATCTTTTGCTAAAGGGTCATCAATCTTGACCTGTAGCTTTGATATTTTGGCAGAAATTTGGCCTTGCTCTTTGGTATCTCCATCTAGAGTGGATGTTACAAATGGATGCATAAATGGTGGATTAAGTGAAAATAGAGGAGGAAAAGTGGGTTCATTCTAGTACTTAGATCCTTCTCGCATCTCCCCAGAGGCTCTGGGAAACCCTATAAATCACAAACCTCCCTAACGGTTTGAATTGTTTCCATGCATTACTTAACAAATTTAAATTATAAATACCCAATCATCCTAGAACCTTTGACAGGATGGGCGAAGGGAGGGGAGAGGATGCCGTGGCTTTCATTGGTCAGATTCTTGGCATGCAAGTTACATCATTACCGCCATGTTGGATGACACAAAGCATTCGTCAGCAGTTTCTCTTGTTCATTCATCCAACATGGCGGCGATAGCTTTATCCTTTATTTCTCAGGGGGATTTCTGGTCATGTGGTTGCACACGAAGAATATAGAAACATTTTCAGTCTAAATATTATTTTCTTCAACTTAATTTTATTATCGCTTCAATAATTTACCTTGAACTGGACAAACTTGTTTTTCCTCTGTTATAAAATCAACTTCAAAAGACAAATCTAAGCATTTCCCAGTCAAAAGCCGCCTCCAGCACTTCGTGGTCTCATTGTTGTTGTCATCTGTTGATGAAACCAGTAGAGCTTTATCTTCTTCAAATACAAASCCAGTTAAAGTCTCTAGCTTTTCCTTTATCGTCAACAATGAATTAATCTCTTCCTCTGTGTTAGATTGACTTTTATAATCACGAGTGGCATCAGTAGATGTTGTGAGTGARAGTTTTTTGACAACTTCGTCAAGCGTCTTCAATGAGAACTTTTGCGCCAGATTTTTCTCTCGTTGATCACATTCCTCTTCAAGTTCACTTATCTCCTTACTGAGTTCATCAATTTTYTGAAGGTAGTAGTTTTTAGAACCAGAAACTTGCTTTCTCTTTCGTTTGGACATTATTTTGAGTATCAGTCACTTCGTTGTTATTTTGATGTCCACCATTTTGAGAATTTTGGCGCCAAAATGYACTCGTTCCAGACTCTTTKCTGTTGGCAGTGTGCTRCTGGTAACGAAATKATTACCGCTGGTTGAARTTCGCAGGCGCACTTCTTACAACGAAGCCAAAAAATGTTGAATACTGGGTGAGTGGGGAYWTGTAATTTTTCACATTTTAAACTGTTTTCTTCTTTATTCAACGAAATGTAAACATTAAGTGTTATATTATGTACATACAGGAAGCTTGCAGGTAAAACTCTCTTTATTACTGGAGCGAGTAGAGGGATAGGAAAGGCCATCGCGCTCAAAGCCGCCCGAGATGGTGCCAATGTAATAATTGCAGCTAAGACTGCAGAACCGCATCCATTGCTGCCAGGGACAATTTACACTGCTGCCAAAGAAGGTTTGTACAGTTTTCAAATGTATCTAAAAATCTTTCTTCATGGTTTGAGTGGTTTTGCTGAACTTTGGCCCATGCTTGGTGCCACAGGAARCCCAACACAGAATGCCGACTTAATAAATGTTGATTTTAAATTATTTAACAATTAGACATTAAATTTTTTTATTGCATTCAGCTGATTGTAGTATTATAGTAATTTCAAATACGAATTAAATATGAAGTGATGGTTTTGGGTGATTGATGTGTGTTTAGGCAGAGTATAACCTCAGGGGTCTCAGGCAGAGTAAAGTATCAAAACTATGTGCATATGATCTGTATATTGCATGCAAGTGCAGGTTTGAGGTGTTTTGTAAATCTGGTCAAA